TGTGTGTGTGTGTGTGTGTGTGTGTGTGTGTGTGTAAGACAGAGCACACACGTCCAAACTAAACACTTCATTCCTAATTAGGCCATTGGCCAGATGTTGTTTGCTCAACAGTCGATCCATAAATAACAATATATTTTGATACAGTGACAAGAAACAGCAACATATGGAGGAACGGAGAACGTGACAGCAGGGAGGGAGACAGGCTGGACAGTGAGCCGAGGCGATGGAGGTGGGGAACGGTGTGCTTTAATCGTCTATGAGAACATTTGAATGTCTAACCATTTCAAACGCACCGACAACACATTCAGATACACACAAAAGCACACATTTGAAATCTCCCAGCTTCCCAGACAGACAAACGCTTCATGCTACCTTGCAGGGGCAGAATGCTGACGTTGAAGTCTTCCAGCTGGCTGAGGGCGTTGATGAGGTCCAGTTCCTCTTGGATGGATGGAGGACAGTCTGTGATCAGCTGGAGACACCCCCTGATGAAGATAATAAGCAGTTAAAAACAGCAGGGAATGACTAATAATCTGTTCCATTGCTACCCAATCATATGACCTTGTGACACAAAGAGGAAGTCTGAATTTTAGGAGTACAGAAACTTAACTTTTCTAAGCACAGAAAGGGAAAATTGCTTAAATCTGTGCAAGCTGATGCACCTAAAAAGTGATGTAGTTACCTTCGGTCCATTTAATCTAACAGCATTGCGGAAAACTGTTGCAAAACATAACTTACCGCTTGACAAAATGAGTGGGAAGAACTAAAGGGGCTTTACTTAAATTGGTACACATTTCAGAGCTGTAGAAAAAAAGCGATTATCTAGCCTGAAGTCTGTGAAGTTTCAACATCATGATGAGAAACATGGCGACACTTTTCAAATGGATTTAAATACAAAGTCTAGACTAATTTGACAGATCTACAATAGAACAGTTTTCTCTTGAAACGCGAGCGGCACTCATTACCCTTAATAGGATTATGTAGCACATCATGCCGCATATATAACACTGAATGCGCAAATTGTGTGTGCCTGCAAGTGTATACACAGCAAAGTAAAATATACCAGCGAGTGAAAGAGGAAGAAAAAAGCAAAATGATTAATTTGCAAATAGCACAAATCCCAGATAAAATAGCAGCTTAAGAGTTCTGACGTCAGCACCAGTTGAGCGGAGACGAGGGAACTTGTCCTTGTGTGTTCGCTCAAGAGTGTTTTACTCTCGTGGTGGGTAAACAAAGACAACTGACAGAAATGTCTCATAATCCTTGTAAGTGTAATGAGAAACGCAACCTCTACTTCTTAAAAACACAGTGACTCAAAACTGTTGAGTAGAGTACACACACGCGCGCACACACACACACTCTGGAAAGCACTCCACACGCAGCTCCCCACTCTTTGAGCATGGCTGCTGTTCTTGCCAGGAACAAGAGGTTTGTCCTGGCATGGATGAGAGCAGAGGAAAGGGCTGTGGATGGGCGAATGAGAGACAGAAAGAGGGCATACTGATTATGTACTCGTGCTGTGAAGTATCTCCAGGCGAGCGTGTGTGAGTGTGTTTGTGTATTGACACAGCCTTAGAAAAGACATCAGTGGGGAAAAAAAAAAATTATCTATTTCGCTTTCAAGAGTCATGATGTGCTTTGCAGCATGTACACTGTGATTTCCAGATTAACTACTCTGTGCTAAACAGACACACGAGTTTGCAAAGAAGTTATCAATGGAGCACAGCAGCACACACCTTGCCCTTCATTTGCACCACAACATCAAACAGAAGTGTACTGACATCCTGGTTTTTTTTTCCCATTTATCGTCCAACATTTCTGTGTCATATACACTCAGGTTCTTTCCTACTCACACGAGGACTTGTGAGAGGAGCTTTCACACGTACGACAGAAACAACCAGCAACAAAAAGGATCAAAATCATCCCTGCTGGGCCCACATCTGCCTTATCTCCCTCCTTTCTTTTTCCTCACTAAGATGTTTTAACAACTTAAGCATCAAGTCCTATCAAGACCCTACGAATTGTAGGGTAAAGACCCCACAATCTTAAAGAGACAATCAGGCAATTTCCTATCAGCAGCACTTGGTGAAGGCAGAACTTCCTTTTAACAGGAAGAGGCTTCCAGCAGAACCAGCAGAGCCAGGCTCATGGAGAGGCAGCAATCCCCGCTTAAGGGTTGAGGGGAAAGAGAAGGTAAATGGTGAATGGACTGGCTCCTATACAGCGCTTTTCTACTCAGCATGAGTAGCAACCATTAAAAGTGCTTTATACATCCATACCATTCATACATTCACATCTACTCACACAAGCATTTTTGCTACGCCTTTTTTCTGCATAGGTGATTTCTATCTAACATATATGGCATTCAGACTCCAGCAGCCACCAATCTCCCAATTAGTAGATGACCTGCTCCTGAGCTACAGGAGAAAACACTGGCAGCCACCAGTACAGTTTTACCTAGATACATTAGATCCACTAGCCTAGATGCACCCATGGTATACATTTGAAAATTCTAATTGATTTTCAGAAAAGTTGACCTCTAACCTCGACCCTGAGTTCAAGATCACTGAGATTCAAACTTGTTTCAGTTTTTTAGTAGCTAAACGTATGCCATCAATTTAAAAAAAAAAAAAACCCAGGTGACTACATTCTTCATTTATCACATTCACAAGATTTTTCAGAAAACTTTACATCTTCATCTGACCTTGATGTCAAGGTTACCGGGACTCAAAATGTTTTGAGATTTTTAGTAGATGGAGTAGAATTTCAAAGTCCTACGTCGCATTGGTCTCGAGTTATCCAATTTAAAAACTCGGGTGTCCACGCTGTCCGCCCGCCCGGCAGGATGACAACAATACCTCATCAGCCTTTTATGGCTGAGCGGTAAAAAGTAAGGAACATACAACGACAAAACACAAAAGTGTCTGCAGACTGGGGACTTCCCATTTAATAAACTTTGATACATCATCAAACTTTGATGTATGCAGACTATAACGTGACAGGTTTCAACTGCCATTCCTCATTTATTTCTTTTCACAGCCAGTCCTTCTTGGCACAGTCATGATAACAGTTGTGGGATCATACAAATACACCTTCTTCTTTGTGTTGTTTTATTCTTGCAATATGAAGCATTTTGAGCTGCATGTTTTCACAAAAATTGCAACATAACTCCATTAAATTAAGCTTATTTAAGTAGTACGACTTAAGGATCATGCTCCAGTAATATGAAAACAAGGAGATGTAATGATTTATGGAGATTAAAGAAATCCTAATTAGAGGATATAAGATTTAGGGAAAAAATTCAACAAGCTATTAGAAGTTACCTCTGGAACAATGACAACGAAGAAGTAACACTTAATGTGTTACAGGAAGCAGTTTATAAGCAGATTGGGAAAAAGAACTACATAGAAAAATAAACACATTTATTAAACAAGAGATGGGAAGCAAAAATACATAGGAAATGGAAATATTAAAGAGAATCTTTCAAAAATGCTAAACTAATATAATTAGTGGATGATAAGGAAAAAGCTTTCACTTTTAAAAGACAAAAGCAGTATGGTAACTGCTCAGACCGTTGAAGCTGGTAATATACGGGCTAAAAAAAGCAAAAGAAGCAAGAAATCCTTTCCAAAATAAAGGATTTCTTTACCTTTAACACCCAACACTAACACTTGTTTTTCTTTTTAGTCTGTCCATGCATTTTCTGCTGCTTAGCAGGACAAGATGCCGGTCTGTCACAGAGCCCTTTACACTCACATTCACACCTATGGACAATCTGGAATCACCAATTAACCTAATGCACATGTCTTTGGACCATGGGAGTATCTGGAGAGAACCCTCAATGACACCGGAGAACGCGTCCCTCACAGATAAAAAGCTCCAGCCGGCTGCTGGATTCAAGCCCTAATCTTCTTGCTGTGAGGCACATATTAGAAATGTCATCAAAGTCCTTGTAGGGAAACAGAAAATGATAGTAATAAAAAGTAAACAGTGTTCAAAGGCATTAAAAGCACTCTGAGTAAAGGATGATTTTTTTTTTCCAAATTAAGCCAGCTAATAACAGCTGAATAACTTTCATAAGCCCTGCAAAAAAAGGAGCAGGGATACCCTCAGATGACCACAGTGAGTCCTGCTCATGAAGGCTCACATTTCTTTTGAAGAAGATCAAAAAGTGTTTACCTCAAGCGAAGCTGACCGACCATACTGATCAAATTTAGATCAAACCAGTTTTAAATGTGGCAGGTTAGTGTTAAGTAATGTTTCACTTACTTTGAATTTAGATTACGCAGCCTCAACAGCAAATATTAATGCTAAAAAGCATTCGGGTCACTATGATGGTCACTTAGTGGAAATATTGTACTCAGCCCTAACATGGTGTCTAACCAGATATTTACTCTGGATGGATATGCCTTTCAATGTACATATTAAACAAATATGTAGGACGGCTTTCCTGCAATTACGTAATATCCAATTCATTCACCTTTTTACAGTCCCTGTGTGTTCAGACACCATTCTCTGTTTAATCAATAGTTAATATTATTCTTCCACACTACTTTGTCCTGTCTCCCTCCCTTAACCCTGACTTTCCCCATCTCTTTGTGTTAAAAGTGAGTTTTTCCTCCCCACTTTCGCCAAGTGCTTGCTTATAAGGGGCTGTCTGATTGTTGGGGTTTTCTCTCAATTATTCTTGAGTCTTTACCTTACAAATATAAAGCACTCTGAGGTGGCTATCGCTGTGGTTTAGTGCTATATAAATAAAATATATATAAATAAAACTGAAATAAAGACGATTTTAAAAACAAAAAACTAATTCAGTCTATAGACTCAGGGTCTCATTCGTAAAAGTTGTCCAAAAAACTGCATCACTTAGCCGTCTGCACCCTGATCGGCTCAAGTTACCATGGTGACTGTGCCCTTCTAAACTGCTCGTTGCTCTGCCAATGCTAGCAGCTAAATTTCTTTGTTGTTTTATCACTGCAAAGGATACCCTTTTTTATATTTTGCATAATTACAAATATTTATTTTATATATATGTAAATTCATTCATGTACTAATCTGTTTTCTCATGTTTGTTCTTTTCTTTCTTTATCTTTCTGTGTGTTTATTCCCAGAAAATTATGATGCAAAGATTTTTATCGGTTTCAGGGGATCCCCATGTTATTTTAAGTCGAGTCTCTTTGTCCTTCTGCCCGTTGCTACTGACCACACTTATTTAGGGCAAAGTCAGGTGTAGTTTAACTGTCCTAGTGCGTGTCTTATTTAGCACACAGGGTAAAATGTGTGTCTGTGGAACAGTTATTTTAATCTAAAGGACACAGTCTGACCATTAGTTGGTGGGCAGCCAGTATGTGTGGACTATTAATTTCAAAGCACCACAGACATTTAACACACCATGTTTTATCCAACACCCTCACCCAAATAACGCACACGTGCACAGATTTACATGCACACACAGTGGAAGTGTTACAATTGATGGTGATGTCCAAACGTGTGGAGGGGGGTCTTTGTATTAGTTCCTATAAATGAATGACGACCCAATTACTGTCCCAATTCCCCACTAGGAACAGACGGCAAGGTTAGACACCCACCGGCCCCCCTCTGAGATCAGAGGCCAGCAACACACACACATGCACTTACATACACTGCTGTAAAAAGTATTGGGCCCTTCCTAATTTATTAGGTTTTTGCACTTAAACGTTTGAGATCATCAATCAGTTTTAATATTGGAGAAATATAGCCTGTTTAAATAAAAACTGGTTTTTTTAAAGGATAATTTTAATTATTTATTAATTGAGAAAATGCTAATTTCCCCATAAAAATAATAACTGGTTGTTTTCGTATTATCTTTTTTCCCTACACATGAAATCATCATTTAAATGCATCTTCTATTTACTCGAGTTATATTTGTCTAATTTTACTTGTTTGAGGATCCAAAGCGTGCAAGAGTGACAAATAAGCTAAAACCTAAGAAATCATTAGGGGACAAAAACTCATGGCACTGTGTATACAGTTCATGTAGTAGGTGAAAAATTATAATGAGACACCATTATTTTGTTCCTGGTCATAAGTGCCATAGAAGTGCAATAACATTCACCTACCTCCACAGAAGCAAACATTGTGTCTCACACATCACAAGCAAATAAACACTTCTTCTTTTTGGTAGTTACTGTACAAGTTTTGAAATAAATTTACCTTAATACCTTAAAGATAAAGAACTGGGGAAAGGAAATACTCTCTCTTTTCCTGCTCACCTGGCCAGCCCCATGCAGGGGTCTGTTAGCAATTTGGATGAGTTGAAGTACTCCCTGGCAGCAGCCAGCACTAATTCCACGCTGTTGTCATAGGCCACCTTCAGAGCATAACCTTTACCCCGAAAAGACAAGCTGACAGGAACATCCTGACTGACCTGGAAACATTAATACGAAATGTGGGGATTAGTGCGACAGCGAAATTAATTAATTTAATTAATAAGCAGTTTAATATTCGGACAACCCAGGGTGAAGCTGGAGTGTAATTCTGCGAAGGAGCGTCTTATTTAATGTACCTTGGAGCAGTGCATGAGCTGTCCTGCCAGGCGTATGTTCTCCACTCGGCTGGAGCACAGCAGGGACTCGACAAAAACCTGCAGCGGTCAGGGAGGAGGAGAGATATTATGCAGGGAGAGGCAGCGTTTAACCGAACAAAAGTTGTAACATTGTAGCACTCTAGTATTTTATCTGAACTCTCCCTGAGAGCGGTAACATGCAGCTTAATGTGTGAATTATAGACCACAGTGTCACCGAAGGCACAAAATGAAAATGCAGGCACATTAACACATTTAATTACACGTTTAATGTTAGTACAAGTCCTAACAATCTATGGATAATGCGTGTTTTGCATAAAACTGTATATAAATAATGGACAACAAGATAACGCTAATGAGGAACTGCTCTAAACAAGCGTTCGTCCCATTAGCCAGCTGAAGTGAATATTCTTTGCCAAAAAGTTTACAAAACCCACAATAAAACTTTTTGTTATGAGATCGTGATCACACTTGCTAATTTCAAGTTTTCCACAGTACAGCCTGATGTCAGTTTTGAAAATTATGAACTCAACTGGTGTGAAATAAATAAATATAAAAAGTGTCTTTGGTTCCTCAGTGAGATCCACCTGTCTCTAGCTAAAATTAGAATCCCAATTAAAATCAGAGTGAATACTGGATGCACCTTGCCAACACAAATCTTCCCAATATTACTGAAGTGTTTTACCTGATGGCACGTCTCTGGTTTTAGGCAAGTGTAAACGTTCTGCTGCATATCCAGCAGGTCCTGTAGTAGAACTCTCCACATATTCTCACTCACTGGAGGGTTTCTGGACACACACAAACGTTCAGCATGTTTGTGGCATTTATTTCTATGTGTCTATTCATACATGTGTACGTTTCAAAGCTCATACTTGCGGCCGGTGTGACGACACAGTTTGACCATTAGCTGGTGGGCTTCCTCGTCATTGTTCTGGCTGTTTTTCACATACGAGATGGGCTTCTGTAGACCATGTTTCTCCAGAACCTCAACCACACTGTTAGGCATTGGAATAGATGGACAAATATAACATGTAATCACTGTTGTCATTAAGGGGGAAACCACTAATATGATCACACAAACTAAGATTAGGAAAATCACACAATGAAACCACAACGAAAAAACAAAAGTTACATTTTTCAAAACATTAATTCAGGAAAAACAAAAAACACAAAGACAGGATGACTGGCATCAGTAAGCGTCACAGTTGGAAACGCCAAGCAAGACAAAAACATGGCAAAATGATACCTGTGAGCGATCCAAGGGAGAGAGACAGAAGACACTTAAACTCTAAGCTGTTTATTATTTTGGCAGCAGAAAGTCATTTGCGAGTCGCGGTGCAGATGGAGCAAACGTAGAGCAAGACTGAAGAGCAGCGTGATAAACTACACGTCAAAGTGACAGCACCTAGGAGCACGTGAATGCATGCAGGCTTATATGACCAAGGGACAGAGAAACAGTGAAAGCGTGTGTGCATGTGTGTCGGTGAGGGATTAGCATGGCACCACCAGCCTCAACAGGGTCGTGCTGCTACAGATGTTCACTCTCTGCTGCAACTCATTACCATAGTAAACAGGTGCCTCTGTGTGTGTGTGTGTAGCTATATGTGTGAGTGTAAGACATACAACAAGCCCTGATATTTACAACTGTGTTTGTGTGTGCATGTTTGCTCAAGTGTGAAGTGTCCATGTGTGTGTGTGTGTGTGTGTGTGTGTCGGAGGAGGGGGGGTCTGCATGTTCCTATGCACATATTAATGCACCAGCAAGTGGCAGCAGCTGAAAACGGCTTTCATTCTGGAGGCGCTCGGTAAGAAGACACTTTGCATTTACTGCCTGATTCATCTGGATACGAGCGTGTGAGTCACTGCGCTTCAACACAAACGTACACGAACACACTACCCCCACCTCCCACCCCGGCGTGTGTTTGTGCATAGCTGCCTATGTCTGTGTGCAAATATGTGAGTAAACTTGTATGTGAAAGGACACACTAAGCCTTAACGCTGCTTCCTGTTGCTGCTTCCTCCTCCTCCTCTTCATCATCATCCACATTCCCATTTCCTTCAGGCTCCTGCCCTCCTTCCCTCCCCCAATCCCCACCTTCATCCTTCCTCCTCATCAGTGCTTTGTGTTTGCAAGTTCACCCTGAGGAGCAGGGTGGATGAGAAAGAGAGAGAGAGGCACATGGCCGATTTAAACCTGTAACAGAGAAATTGCCTGAGCTTGTGCCATGGGACACACACCGGACTCTTGATACTGAGCATGTGCGTAAGTTGTATGTGTACCCACCCACCACCCCCATCCAATCAGGCACATATAAAGGGAGGGAAGCAATAAGCATTTCTACACATTGAACGTTTCCAAAGCATTGCAGCAATAATCACAAAAACTAAAGAGCTGTTCCTCCCAACAATTTATGTGCCCTGCCAATAAATACAGACAAGAAATATTGGAGTGTGAATACTTAAGTTTTTGTTGTTTTTTTTTTTAAAGTAAGATCAAAACACACAATGTTAAATCGAGTCTATTACAGGAAAAGAAAAAGCAGCAAATCCTCATACCTCAAAGTCTGGAACCAGCTCTGATTTGTAAATCCAACTGTTTGTGCTGACAGAAGACAACAAGAGAGAGGAGGAAGTGAAAGCTGACAGACTGTATTACTTTACCTCAGGTGCTTCTCAAGTTTGTCCACCTGATCATGGAGTGATGGAGTGATGTCTGTCTGTGGCCTGTAGAACAATAAAACACACAAAAAGAGTTGTTACTTCTCTGTAAGTCTGTGTTTCTAAAATTAAATTGGAATAAATAAAGTAGAACGCAAAGTAGGAAAAAGATTTGCATCATAAAGTGTACGCCTAATCCCCAAGCGCATGCCTGTGTGCGTATTTATGGCAGTACAGTTTCTACACTGTACCGTAAATGTGTGCGTATGTGGTCAACCAGTGAGGCTGTACTGATTTTCCACTAAAAATAAAACCCCATGATGCTTTGCCTTGAGGCAAAGGATTTTGGGTCAGGCTGGCCTGCGCCCCACTAGAGTACTGACCCTGATGAAACAACCTTCTGTTTATGAGCATCAGTGACTGTGAATGTGTGTCAGTGAGCGAGTGAGGGTTGTTTTTTTTTTGTTTTTTTTAAATGTATCTATTTATTTATTTGTTCATTTAAAAATAAAAAATCTGACCTTTCCATTTCTCTGCTTTTTCACCCCCATCTCTGACTGTCTGTGCATCTCCACCTCCAGCTCCAGCTCTTCCTCTTTTTAATACCCATTTCTCCCTCATTCTATTTTTTCCCTCTCCTCAATCACTGTCTAATCCCTTGTCCATTTTTGGATTTCCCACTCTCTAAGGGTGAACGCACGTTACATTCTTCTGAGCAGATTTAGACCTAATTAAGCTGTCTCACAAGAAATATCAGAAAATTGGGTTGAAACTACTAAGTCATGGTTTCTCTCCTAGCTTGCAGAAATCTGTAATATTCTTGGCCGGGGTAGCAATTTTCAGCTTAGTAAGTCAGACACATCACTCCTGAGAGAAATGCTAAATTGAAGGCATTGCATATACAGTATAGCACCTTGCAGCACTCCTAAACCAAACACTGCAGAAAGCTGGCCTGTCTAGCAGAAAGGAAATGTTTAGTCTGAAATGCATATATGGGTATTATGCTCACCGAAAGCAAAAGTGTAACCATAAAGCGATTTTTTTTAATGGAGTGTTCATTAAAACTTGCAATTTATTATATATTATAAAGCAATTAAATATTAAATGAGAGACATAAAGAGGGTAACTTGTACAATATACAGTAAAATATACTGGGGGTGATCTATAAAAGTTGTGGTTGTTTCTAGAAACAGCTGTAGTCAGTTCCTTCATTTTAATATCAAGCAGCATTAAAAATCAATGCAACTAGCAGTAAACCACGTGTCGCAAACATAAGGAAATCAGTTTTCTGCATCCTATTTAAATATTCTCCTCTTTTTACTTTGCGCCATGAGAAAAAAAAAAAAGTTTGTCATTGTGCTCTTTTTGTAAAGATCAACTACTTGGTACTTTCTTGGTACTTTTAAAAAGAAATAAAGGAAATAAACTCTTTTGGGGGGAAAAAAATTAACTAACTAAAACAATTTTGCAAACTTGGAAAACTATTCAATTCAATTAAAATATGCCTGATGAGGCATGGATGGGCATGTTTATTGAGACTGGATGTTTACAAGACTGTGAGTCAACAGCATTCAAACGGTTCTGTGTTTTTATTGTAATAACTGCACTGATTTCTATAAATGTTGCCTCTTTCATATCCCTACATATAATAACAATAAGAAGAAGAATTAAAAAGGCTAAAATTAACACTGAATCTAATAAAAACTAAACTAAAAACAAAACAAAGAAAATAAATAAATAAATAAAACGTCATTAGATGATACAAAACTATAATAAGTCTGCTAACAATTTGTCAACGAGAAGCTTTTTCACATTTAAATGGATCATGGGTTAAAGTATATCTTTGAAAACAAATAGCTAGCTAAATACACTGTAAAGTAATAGCAGTGCTCATATTTGGATAATCAATAAAATAGCTACATTTATCGATGTAAACTTCACTGATAGTAAAAGAAGTAATATTAATACGGGTGCTAGCAATGTATACATTATTGAGTAGCTTTTCAGGATTAGCTAGTGTGCCATTAAGGTAAAAACAGATCCAACAATTTGTTTGTTGCTGATTGCTTAGAAATGCTAATAAGATCATAAAAAAGGTTTATGTTCATGTTTTTTTAAGGAGGGAAAATACATTTTTGTGATTTAAATAAAGTAACCCAGCAAATAGCTACATTAATAATATTATGGAATATTATGATAAGGAAAAGTGGAAACCAGAACATCAATGATGTAGTAGCTCATCAGTGAAAATTCTTGTGAATTGTAAATGGACAGATTGATGATGGATAACTCACCATGACATGTGCTAAAAAAAAAATGTATCTTTAATTCACAACTTTAAAATGTAAAACCGACACGCTTATCTGTCTGCGTTACACTTGCTCAGTTTAGTGGAAGGCTGCACTGCGGCTGAAATCATGTCCCCAACCAAACATTGCTTGTTGCCCATAACAGTGACTTGTTTCAGTACAGTTATCCCCACTGTGGCATTATTTAGGGGAAATAAATACATGCCACTCACAGCAATGCATATCAAACTGGAGCTACGTGAGCCAGTTGCTAAAGGAAAAAGATCTAATTGCTGAAAATCATGGCTGTCATACTGTAGCAAGTGAACAATAAACAACAAAGCTCGCCAAAAGTGGTCATTTAATTTCTCAAATAATGTGCACACTGGATGGATAATTCTTCCAAGAATAAGTCATTAGGATTAATTTCAGCTACTCGACACTCTAATGACCCCCCCCCCCCACCCCCCATCCTCAGCCCTTCACTATCCGCTCAGTCTCCTTCAAATGCACTACATACCCACACAGCCTCATGGGGAACCTAAAGGACAGCCTCTCTTGCTATATGAAATAAAATGTGCTGCAGAAGAGGTGGGGGAGAGAAAGGCAGAGACAGCAATACCATCAGGTAGGAAATACTGTGTAGACTGTAGCTACGCTAACTGATGGCTCCTTGGAGTCAGAGCTAAGCGTAAAAGAGAGAAGAGGAGGAGGGAAAGAAAGTTACAAGGGGAGAGGAGCAGCAGCTAAGGCAGTAGTTAGGTTTATTGATAGGTCCTAAGAGAGATGGAAAGGTGAAAGGAAAGGAAAAAGGTGGGTTGCTTGGAAGCAATGTATTCTTGTGGGCGAGGCAGCGCCGGACTGCTTTAATATCCTTATATCATGGCTTATCTAATGTATAAAGCTTACTTCTGTCATTACCAGAATATGCCCAATTGACTTGCTGACTTGTGCGTTATCGTGCACAGCATCGTGTGTGTGCGCGATTTGTGTGCGATTTGTGTGCGATTTGTGTGCGTGGATGCGTGCGTCTGACCCGTAGCCCCTCTGTGGCAGACACTCCAAGATTTCATAACACAGGCTGAGCTGGTCGTCTCTCTCACAGCTGTAGATGCACTCCAAAGCGACCTCCATCAGCTGGTCTGGGTCCCCGATAATCTTCTGCTGGCACTGGAGGAGAGAAGAATAAGAGTCAGTATGTGCATATCAATGTGTGATTGACCCCGTAATTTATTTGTACCTACACACTGAAGCATTGCATCAATTTAAGCATTTTCTTCCTCTGGAGTGTTTGTGTGTGTGTGGTTCATGGCTTCTAATGGCCCAGAGACCTGTCCTTGGCTGCGTCCTTATGGGGTCATAAATAAAGCATTTACAGCGCAGGGGCAACAACATCGGCCTTGACATCACACAAACAGCCAGAGCTGCAATGTCTACGTGGATGTGCTTTCATTTTCCTGTCCCTCCATTTATGGTTACCCAAGTGTGACGCCGACTACACTAGTGCATTGTGTGTGTGTATGTATACGGATACTTGCATCAGGTTTGGAGTGCTTGAAAATGATGAGGGGCAGGGTGAGGTCTTCCTGGGCCAGGCTGACCAGGTATTCTCTGAGCAGAGATTTAGCAGAACCCTCTTTCTGTCCCTCACAGCGATGCAGGAATGGCACCATCCACTGGAAGGAGTCTTTCACGTAGTGCTCGGTGCTGGACTGATAACAGAAAGAAATTCAAGATACTTAAAGATGCAATTCAGGCAGGATACTAAAAATAATGAGACCTAGTGTGTTGAATAGATAATTCACTTAAAGTGAGTAGTATTCTACTGGTAGGAATTTTAGCCTAAGAAACTCTAGTCACTGATTTTATGCTCTTCATTTGTTGCGCTTTACATTTACATGTTTATGTAAATAAAATGAACTTAGCTCTTCCAATAAAGGAGAACCTCTGGGTGGAATGGTTGTTAAATTCATTTGTTTTCTTTTATATAAAAGACTATTAATGAGTTATATACCTTTCTGTTTGCAGTCATATAGCATATACTCCTAGGGGCTAAATTTAGAAAGCCAATCAGTCAGTTGCACAAAAATGATTGTGAACTACATGGAAATAATGGAAATACTGCACTGATCACAAATAACAAGGGGTCTGAGCTTTCTCTAAATCACACACTGATTAAACTACCAACACAGAGACACACATATTTCACCGAGCTAAGCCTTTCTGGCTTTTGAGAGCCTGCTGACATGTCACCAGGTTTCTGATCCAAACACCAAGCAGTTACATAGCACAAGCTGAGCTAATTTCCACAGTGAAAAAGACAGATTTTGCACCAATCACCTATAAATTTCCTACAGCATCCTCTCCAATAGCCAACTTTGGGAGCAGCAATTTTGTGATGCTGTACCAGTGAAGGCTTTTTGGCATTTGGCATTAGGGCACTAAAAGTAATGACGCTATAAAAATGCTTTATAAAAAGCCATTATCAGTTTTTATTGATCAATTAACTTTATATGGATTTCAGTAAAAAGAAAAAAAATCAAATAAGCATTTGATGCAGCCACCCTTTGCCTTTAAGAGGTACTCATACTCATTTTATTTATTTATTTTTTGAAGGGATTTGGCAGGTAAACTGTTCTAATCACCTTGAAGAACTTGCCACAGTTCTTCAGTGGATTTATGCCATCTCGAATGCCTCCGTCTCTTTATGGCATCCAGACTGAATCCAAGATGTTGAGATCAAGGCTCTGTGGGGGTCATACCATCTGCTGCAGTGCTCCTTGTTACAAGCCGCAACAGCATGGTTGGTATTGTTCTCAGCTTGCGACTATGAGTGTGCATGTGTGTGTCGCAAGTCAGCTTGCGACTATGAGTGTGCATGTGTGTGTGTGTGTATAAGTTTGAGTATCATCATTACGTAAAGTGGTCCAGGAGACAAAACTACTACTAAAGGTGGTTTTACTTTGTCTTAATGTGTCTTTCTGGGTAGTAATCGATATCAAAATGAAGACAAAGTTTAACCCTTTGTTTACCAATATTTATACATTGCTAATGTACTTTAGTTTTTACGTTTGGCTGTAAAATGAAAGAAATCATTCCGGATCTTTCAGGAAGCATTTGTGTACATTGTAAAATCTTGACACAGCTGATTTTTTTCCTGTCCATGTTCAGACAGCATTATCTTGTGAATGCTTTCTGCAACCACGATTCACCTCATATCCCCAGAAAGCTAGTCTTTGCTTCTTCTGGCAAATTAAGGGTTAAAAGTGAATGTAGTCCAAAAGTTTAAACTTTTAACCAAGACAATAATACTGACACTGTTGTGATCCCAATACAAGGAGGACTCTATTTAGTCCTGTTCTTAAAAGTTCTGTTCTTATTAGAGTTATCAAGCTGCAGAATGAATTTGGGAATGATGGGATGTCTGCACGATGGTGCTGTGTTACAGATAAGAACGCAAGACATGAGTGTGTGCGTGTGTGTGGAACATCAAGGAAAGTTAGTCGAATATTTTTTTTTCTCTGTTTTTGAATGTTTGTTAGAAAATTGCAAAGTACTTCAAACCGCATTTACATGAAATTGTGCCATGCAATTAAGCCTGAACTTGAACCATAATAGCTGCAGTATGTGGGCTGCAATGTGATTTGAGCAGATGCATGTCAAGTTCGTGCAAGGCCTTGCACCCACCTTGCGACAGCTCTGACTCAGGATATACAGATAAGAGAGCATCAGCGGGAAAAATGAGATTCAAAATAAATAAATAAATAAATACTTGAATGCTAAATGCAAACTTGCACACCCACGCACAACATTTTTGCTTTGCTCTACTGTCTCTCTGATAAAGAAAGACATCAGACGCAGGCAAAGAGGGAGATTTAATCTAGGCGAGTTTGGTAAACACTCAAACACACACAACCACACACACAGACAGACACATGTACATACACACACAGAGCGTCCAGAGGGAGTACCAGTCAAACAGCATGTGTTAGTGCAGTCAACAACATTTGCTGGCTGCCTGCCTGTGTGGCAGATACTACTGGCAATGGGCCTCATAGGCTAAAGCTGGCAGTTATTAGCTACAATTTAGAGGACAGCTCATATTATGTACTCCAAGGGGACTTGTAACTGTAGTACCTGCTATATAGAATAGCTTTCATAGCTCTCATGTTGCTGTTGGAAAGGAAGCTCGTATCATCAAATATGAGTGATTTCAGGAATGAAAAGGAACTAATTTACTTGGAGGCTGCCATTCAATTAGTCTTTTAAATTTTTCTGTTTGTTGCCTATTCCAGTTGCAATTAGCATAAATTATGTTTCTTTAAGCAACAATCAAGGACAATAAAGTAACTATAAAGTGGAACTGTATGAAGAAATGTAATGGCAGAGAAATGGGAGGCAAGCTTTCTATTTGTTCAGACAATGAACACCCAGACAGGCTGTGAAACAAAGCAAGCGGGCTGGGAAACGCAATTTAACAGCATCGCGTGAGGAAAACAATGTTTTTCAACTGAGAAAAAAAAAAAGAAAGAAATTATTTGCATTTGAAAAGGATAAAAGAAAGAAATTATGAAATGAATGGCATTCATTATAATGAAGATAAAAACAAAGACAATTAGAAACAGTAAAAAGTTTGGACACACGTACCGAATGTGTCCAAACTTTTTATTGGTATTTTATCTTCCAGTTTTTGTACAGAGCTTTTCAGTTACCAGACCTGCTGTGCATACATGATTTTGTGCAGCTAAAAGTATAACCGTTTCTGTGGTGGGGGTCAACCTTTCCCAGTGTGCAGTTAAGCAGGTGGAAAATTAAGTCACGTACGTTTTTCATGAGCAGGCGGAGTTTGTCAATGTCGCTGAGCTGCTGAAAATCTTTAAGAGTCAGACCCAGTTCACATGATGTCTCATACACAAGTGTTTCCATGGTGACCAAGTCATCGCATAATCGCTCCAGCCCGGGGATTTCCCGCTCCTTCCCAAGACGCACCAGCGACAGGGCGCAGTCCACCTGAGACAAGAAACAAAGAAAACCAAATGAAAAACACGCTTGAAAACAGGTTAGAGGAGGCTGACAGCATGAATTCTACTTAAAAGTACATTGAAAAAGAAAAAAAAAAAAAGACAAGATCAGTGGTCAACATCACACTTTCACTAACTTCTTAGCGTCTCCTATACTTGGACGTTTTAAGGAAGGAGCACTGTCAGTGAGATATTAAACACACTGTTACTGTGCCTCAGATTGGGTACTTTCATACTTCCATAATATCTTCAGTGCATGCATTCGTTCACACTGTGTATCACAAGTACACAGATGGTGTTGTGATAAAAGACCTGATAAAGGTCAAACGGTCGAGTGTGAAACAATGCACTGTACACTCAGTGGCTGCCGTTTTGGCAACGTGGGAGAAAGAACGAACGAATTTCCAGCCAGCTGTACCAAGATCTGTTGTCTCAGCTTACATGATAAAGAGCATATCAGCACTTCCATTGTTTAACAAAAGAAACGCGTTCATAAACCACCAACAGCATAATTGTCAACAGTGATGAAAAATTTGCCATGCATACTTTGGGGCAACACCACCCCCTCACAGGAACAGGTTGAATAGGTTAGTTATAGGGGTCACTACTCTGGAGCCAGTGGAGGTGGTTCAGGCTTCTGACTTGGAGTAGTTATGTCCTACTGGGAGGAGATCCCAATACACGTTATTGAGATTACATCTCTCACCTGGCTGGAGAGCACATTGGTACCCCGTGTCTGCTTAGACTGCTGACTCCGCAACTTGAATGGCAATAAAATGTGTCAACAGAGAGCATGTTATGTAATTTATGGAGCACTTTAATAGTTTCATGTTGTGAGTTAGATGAGAAGACTCTAGGGGCATCTATAGAAATGAAATCAAGCTAATCTTGGTTTCACACTCCCAAAGAATGTGTTCCAGGACTGTGCAGGCTCTTTGAGATGTTCTGTCCCGAATTTCCTCTTCTTCTGTGCAACCAGTGGTTTTCGCCTTGTTTTAAAGCCTCCGTGCTTCTATTGATGAAGGTGTGTTAAACTCCTTGAATTAAAGCTAAAAATCTTCAATCACTTATGGATTTGCTCAATTAACATCCATAGTGTTGGTGTACAGAAACAAAACTAGAAAAGTCATTATTGTTTGAATACTTATGGGCCAAACTGTGTATACACACACACACACACACACACACACACACACACACACACTAACCCAACCTCTTAACCATGACACTTGGGCAGAAGGCAAATAAAAAGCCTGTTTGCAGTAATGTTCGTTCAATAAAAATTGTTGCCGAGATAACTGGATTGGGACGTGGAAAAAACAATATCCCGTCCAATCCAAAAGCAAATAATAGCTGTCAGTCATTACTAATATCCAATCATTAGACCTTCAGCAATAAAACATTGAGGTTTTGGGCTTCCTGCTGCTCCTAATCGATACAATTCCATCCAGAAAAGCAACCAATCAATATGCAACCAGCTATATGCCGGCAATACGCCCAGCCAATTGATGCTCGGCCACCTGTGGATGTTAGCCAATCAATAGCAGATGCTGCTGGGTCCTGCGGTGATGATTGCCTTTTCTACACCTTTTAGAGACAGCGCACACGTCCTTGCTGCATCTTTCCTACACAAAGGCACAAGTGCCCACAGGCACACAGAAACACACAGAAACACAGATACACAATCAATGCAATCTTGTTGTCTTCAGCTTATCTCAACACACATTACTTATTGTTGAATAAATAACTGCATGTCTTCATTTGCAAAAAGTATCCCCACAAACACACACACATTCAACCCAAAACCCAAATCACCTTGACTCAGAGTCTGAGCAATTAGATACAATGAGAGGGGGAAGTCTATTGATCTAACTGTGAGTGTAGATCCTCCTCGTTCTTTCCGCTCCTCCCTGCTCTCCAGAGATAGATTCCCCAGCTAACCACAGACAATTCAGATGTTGAAATCTCACACTTTTTAATTACGACCTCATCTCCATCCCCTCCCCTCGTCTTTCTGTAACACGACCCTCTTTCTTTGTGCTCTCCCCCCCTCGCCACAACGGCAGATTTCACTCTTCACTGTAATATTCCAACTCAATTTGATGCTTCTTTGTCTCTCACCCTCGTCCTATCACACTCCTTTCTTTCAAACGGAATTTTTACATTTTCTCATCAGCTCTGCTCAATTTTAATCCTGTTCCCTTCCCTCCCACCTCTTCCAAGTAACAGTCACCACACTAGCCTCCATTTGAACTCCCAGTCTGCCCCTTTGCCTTTTCTGTATGCCAGCCTCCCCACGCTCTGTCTTGTTTTCAAAGCCACCCTCTCATTTTGTGTCATTTCGTTGCCAGCACAACAACCACTTGGTTTTAATATCCTTTATTCCTACCCTTTTACCCCCTTATAACTGGTGATTTTCTTCCCCACAGACAGCTCTTTCCATGAGATTGCTTTCCCTTTTTATCTCCACACCTATCTGTGCTGCCCTCTCCTCTTTCTGTGTTTGTAATACACTAACCTAACAAGGGCTGTTGCATCGGCCCAGCATTTATCTCCTCTTTCGGCTGCACTTCCATTCTCTGCTTGCCCTAGCTCGTGTCTCTCTCTGAGTCATCTTGTCAATCTTCCCATCAGTGTCTCGCCTCCTGCCACTTTGTGACTGGTTTAGAACACTCCAGCTTCCTCTGATGTGGCTCCTTTTAATCAAGCCCCATTTTACTCCATTAAAACGCTCTCCCAAGCATAAACAGGGCCAGATGACGAATGAGAGGAGGGTGCCAATAAGAGAGAACAAACGAGACGAAACGTAAAAAAGGGCAGGGAGAAGGGGTGGTTGTGGGGGGGGGGGGGGGCGCTCAGCAAATGGCAGCAGAGATTTTCTGATGTATTTCTGTGTCACTGCTGCTCGTGTGAAGAAAAAACTAAATGTGTGACATAACCAGAGACGTGAGAGTTCGGGACAGTCCAAAGAGACTCCTGGAGTAAGATGTGATAGAACAAATGAAGATGAGGTCTAATTAAAAATGAACAAGGGAGAGAATGAAAGAGGGAATTGGTGTGATTCCTTGAGACTAACAAAGGCCTCCTTTTACACATGCACTCGAATCTCTCCCTTTCCTTCTCTCTTGAGTGGATGATGAAAGGCGCGATTCCCCAGTTGTCTTCAAAAATGAGCAATGGACCCCAAAATCTCTATTTCGCCAGCCTCTTTACAGCAAGTGGAAGGGATAAAACGGAGAAATGAAGGGGAAAGATATGACTGCACCCTAGTTAGTCCTTTCACAAAGACAAAGAGAGTGCTGTGACAACCTTGATCCATCACTCTGATGGAGGTAAAGAGGGGACGGAGCTGCAGCGTGGATAGTGTGGGTGGAGAGATCGGGCTGCTCTAGCGTTTACGTCCCATTACTCCACTAAACAAGTCCTATCAAGTCTTATTTTTCACTTGCAGCATCAGAACGCGGATGACATAAGCCTCGGGTTCTCTTCATTAGAAGTCCATATGGCAAATATGATAATAACTGTCACAGATCAGATCAAAGTGACCTTGACTGATGGAGACAGGCAACATACCCTCTGCAGTCTGAATCCCAGCTTGTCATATTTTTCTGCCCTCATCATCTAAAAGAAGTGTGCGAAACCAATTGTCTTTTCAATAGCCAGATGTCTATTAATTCCTTTCTGCCGCTGCCCAGCTGTAAGATCCAATCGAGCAGAAGGAACGTTAACAGTCTACGTAAAAGGTTTCTCCTAACAGAAGAACTATGACCAGTTGGAAATGATTTGCATCGGTAATAAGGGATGAACAAACTAATTGAAAAGTTGCGAGGTCACCTGATCATTTTAGTCTCTAAAACAGCTTGAATGCTTGAGCGTTGAAGTTGAAATTACAAATAAAGGCTTTGTAAGGCCATGAGAGGTCAGCGGGAAAACATTTATTGCTATTACAGTCTGCAAGGTCAGGTAAAAGTTCTGCTGTCACAGGAAGGGTAAGATGCAATCTTTCATTAAATTTTGCTTCCAGGTCAAAGTAAGAAATTCTTGTAATGTTTTAAAGTGCTCTGGAGCAACAGTTCTTGGCATTTTTTTTTTTTTACTGATTTTCAATCCAGTCCTTGTACTCGACTATTTTCAGAAGAATGTTTTTGTCTGTTAAGCCACTGAACACTGACCTTTGAATCGTTCAACCATAAAAAAGACACCTAGCTCAAGCAATGAATGTTGTGTCTACACATAACAGACAACTTTGTATATATACAAAAATTGTATTATTAGGCATATTTTGACTAGTGGAAAGAAAGAATTGTATGACAGCAAGAGGTCTAATGGAGTGTTAAATACAAATTTTTAATTTTTGGTTCAAATCATTAACACTATGTACAGAGGTCAGGAGTGAGGTACAGTCAGTGACCAAGTCAGTGACTAAGACCATCTCTAAAACACGATGGAGGCTCTATCAATGTTTGGCGCTGCATTTCAACCAGTGGTGTTGGAGATCTTGTCAAATGATGTAGTTAACTACCATCAGATTTTCCTTTTGTTCCACCATACAATACCATCTAGAAAGCATTAACAATGGATTCATTTTTCAGCATGACAATGAACACAAATACACTCCCAATCCAGTAAAGCATATGTGGATAGAAAAACATTAAAAGGAACGTTAACAGTCACGGATTGGCCTCCTCAGAGCTCGGACCTCAACATCATTTCGACAGAGAACAAAAGGCAGCCAACATCCAAAGAAGATTTCTGAATGTTCAAGAAGCCTGGGGAATTATTCCTGAAGACTACTTAGTAAAAGAAATTAAAAGAAAGCTTGCTGAAGGCAGTGCAGGCTATGCTGAAGAAAAATTGGTAAGAATACCAAATATTGACTTTCAGGCTCATTAGAATTGTTGAAACTCTGGTTTTGCCAAATTTCCTAGAAAAATGTGAAAGAAACGAGGGGTGGCTCAACACTTTTGCATAGTAAAATAAACATATAGTGACTGACTGTAAGCTACAAGCGGATACACAGAATGTTTGTACCTGTCTGGAGCAAGAGTCGATATCCTGGGCTCTGCTAATGTACCAATCAGTAAGCAGCTCTTTGGAGGGCGTGGCTGTGCGGAATCTCAGCAGGTCTGAGGCTTCGTCATACAGGAAACTGTCATCGTCAAACAAATTCTGCTCCAGCACCGCTCTTAAAAAGCAAAAGACATGGATGAAGAGTTGTGCTCCCTTGCATTTTCACTTTATTCCTTTAATGATTTTTAGCTAATCAGCTAGAGCGGAAACAGTTAATGAGAGAAAAAGGACTTTTATTTTGGCAATAATTCATAATTATGTGTTTATCAAAAGAAAGAAAAAAATCTTACAAACAGATTAAAACAATGCACTGATACAATTATTTTTTTATGGAGCCAAAAGTCAAAGCCTTACTCCTGTGTCATAAACCTATTTTGTTACCCAAAAACATAGCACAGAGAGGATCGTGCTGCTCTGAATAATCACAAAAGCAACTGATCCTCTGCTGAAAATGTTCCCCTAAAAATGTACAATTTATCTACTACCTACAGTGCCCTGCTGCTTTAGGAAATTACTTGTTTGTTTGCTTCTTTTTTCTTCCTTTTTTTAAATGAAAGTAACACATTTATAAACCAGATGCACAGGGAGGGATGCCCAAATATTAGTATTTAAAAGACAGTCTTAACATTGTAGGATTTTTGATAAGAAAAACACAGAATATCACCTGACTCAATGGTAAAGGAGTTGAGCAAAGAGAGGGGAGAGAGATAAGGAGGGAAACAGAGCTGGAAGAGCAGAGATATAACATAGCCACCAAAAAAAACACTGCCTTAAACCTAGTTGCCAGGAATGTTGCTCCAATCACATTATCAAACATTCATCCTGTAATTTCTGGCCAAATATACCACAGTGCGCGACTGCTGTTATGACTCCCAACAGACGAGCAACAAAAAAAATAAAAAATAAAATTGTAAATGAAGCCCGGCCTCTCTACAGAAGCAGGCAAATGGCATAAATTGGCAGTGCAACAAGATTTGGTATTAGTTGGTTATGGCTGTGTTTAACATTTGGATAATAGGATGTCATGTGTTGTTTCACAAAATGATGCCAGCACAAGCATCTGGCCTGTTTGGAGCATGAATTTTAACAGTTCTACACTGCGAGGGGCTTTGTTATCCCGGACACGGGCTGAGTTAATTATGACGCGTTACGTCACATTTGTTTAACTGTTGGCTTTAATAATACTTTATGCACAGAGCTAGAAATCAGTACATTCGCCTCAGGGGTGATGTAACCTGTTTACCTGCACTCCTCTGCCTCACACCAGTCCATCTCTCTGTGTCTTTGCTCGTCCCACGGAATCAACACCAGCTCACCTCTGTCATCCAGACTGTAAATGAAAGAAAATGAAAAAAAGCAAGATATACGAGAGGACAGAAGGAGAAAGACAGCAAGAGAGAGGGGTCAGTTTTTAGGAAAAAGCACACCAATAGCAATACACCGCAACATGCAACATCTACCCACCCAGGCATAATGGGACCTTATAAATCAGCAAAGGCATTTACTGTCTCAAAGTAAACATAGCCATAAACTACGGCAAAACTAGAGAGCAAGCAACATATGGGAAATGGAAAGAGCAGAGTATAATAAGAAAAAGAAATGGGAGGAGGCAAAAAAACAAAATCACAACAATAAACAAGTCAAAGAACTTCTGAAGAGAGTCTGAATCGTGCCTCAGTTGTAAATAGCGGGGAGTTTTATTTTCTAAATGCCACGTTGGTCCCAAGCTTTACTTCTTCCTGGTCTCCTTGAGTGTGACAGGTCTAAGGAAGATAAATAGGGGACACGCAAAAAAAAGAAAGCCAAAGTGAAGAATGACTCTGTAGCTTCACGTGTCAGCGTTGACAGGACTCCAACGCTTGGACACAGACAACGTAACGACTCGAATGCTAAGACGCCGGGCTGAACAAAAGCAGTTTTGCTTTGGGTTTGTTTCTTTTTTCTTCTAGGATTAATGCATGGCTTCTTGTTATCTATTTGTTTGTGGACAGAAAAATATGTACTGTGGCTGTAAAACTCAAGGAGATAGCGTGGGCTACAAATCATCTACAGCTTTGGTGCAGTTAAAGGCCGAGCGCGCACACACGCTGCAGCAGTTTTTAGCACGGTCATAAATTCTCTCCAATCACAAAATACATAAGAAGCAAGCAGCAGCTCTGATTTATGTCAACACTCCAAAGCAGGAGGGTTTTTCACCAACACTCCAGCGCCAGTTCATTGATTAAGCTTGGAACTTCAACACTAGGATAACAGAAATCGAGAAATCCCGCATAAAATCAGCCTCATTCACTGTGGGGTTTTTTTTTACTGACATTCCCTAACTCCCAGGTGCTCTTTCCTCATTAAAGACAGCGTAGTTAGAGAGTGGAAAGTAAATATCGGCGTGAGCGGCCAGATATCGATAGGAGGAATGAATTATTCTGTGCCTGCATCCCTGATCTACTTCGCATCAGAGAGGCAGGGGAGCAGGATTGAAAACAGGAGATGCAGAGCAAACCTGGAGCTGGAGTTTATTTTTGGTTTCCACAGAGATGACCCTTTGAAGCTACAGGCAAAGACTCCTTAAAAAAAATACATGCAGTATTCTCCAAGTCTACAGGTCCCTTCACAGACCTAATCAATATTACAGGAGAGTATTACCTCCCCCCCCCCTTTCCAATGAAGCAAGTTCAGTATATAGGGAGTAAGCACCAAACAGATGGCTTGAGCTGGCTCCGTCTGCTGCAGTGTGGAAGCGAGCGCTGTTGGAGCAGCATTTGGTGCTCACAAGCTGGGGAAAATAGGAAACTGCCCCACAGCGGCAGAGCCATGATGGATGCTCACTGCAGACCCACAAGCACCTGACCTCCATACAAACTCAGTCGCGGCTAATAAAAGGGAGCTGTGTTGTAGTGTGCGTATGTGGAAACTATATTAAAAATTATATCTATATCTGTAGGGGTTTTTTTTTTTTTTTTTTAAGGTGATGAATTTGCCACCCTCAAATACATGGTTTCTTTATAAAGCAGTGGCAGAGAGAATATATCTGTAAAATCCTGTTTCTGCAAATGATATGCTCATTTTGAATGTAATGCCAGTTTCAAAAAGGGCGGGCCAGGACCATGTTTACAACAGCGTTGCATCACATTCCTTTAACACTGTGTTTGGCTGCTCAAAATTTATTTTCCTTGGTTCTTTTCCATATCAAAATTTCACTCTGTGACAGGTTTGGGCTGCAGGCAGCCTGCAGACTCCTTCTGCAACAACTGGATTATATGCTGGATGCTGACTGGTATCGTCTTGCTGAAATAAGCAAGACCTTCACTGAAAGTTTTCTCCAAAACTTTATCGATTAGCATTAACCGTGTCCCCCAGGGATGTGCAGATTTCCCCCAGTTGCAGACCATCACATGGCCAAGCTGGAAGGTTTTGGATTAGTTTCAAAAACAAAAACCCACCTTTGTTAATATTAGATGAGCTAAATGTCAACACTTGAGAATATATTGCAGGATGGTCTTTGCATGGCTGAGTTTGAACTTTTTTTTGGATGCAGCGAGCAAATGGTTTCTGGAAGTGTTTCTGAGTCTGTGCAGTTCTTTTTACCACAAAAAGCAGGTCCTTTTTTTTTAACGTAGGGGCACCCGAGGGCCCAAAGGTGATGGCAAAATTGGTTTTCAGCCTTGTCTTCATTTTCAGAAATTTCTCTGGTGTCTCTCGATCCTTTAATGATAAGACATGCATAGATGATGAAATCCTCAAATTCCTTTCAATTTTAGACCAAAGAATATGATCTCTTTGAACTGCTGAACTATCTGACCATGTAATCTTCCAAAGAGTGGGGTGAACCCCAACTCCCACCTTTATTTCTGAACGATTTTGCCTCTTCTTCTTGCCAACTTGTTGACAACTGAGCTAATGAGTTGCTAAATGTTCCACCAGGTGATTTCCCTTTTTAAGGATTAGACAATTTTCCAGCCTTTTTTGTTTGTTAATCCTGTAGAAACTTTTTGGACAGTTGCTGGAATCAGAATGACTCAAATATACTGTACATATAAAAAAAATAATGATTTTCATTCTTATGCCTTTATACTCAATTACACATATGGTTTGGATAATTTGCACATTTGTGCATTTACCTTTTATCATCGTACTTTTTTGGATGCAGGGTTGTAAGATTTTCACAGAAGCTAAAATGAAGTATCGAGGATTAAATAGAAAAACGAGTTACGATTTAAGGAAAAAGGCACTGTGAATGACTGGCTGCGTCCATCAGTAAATCCAGTCACTGCTATTAGTGAACCATAAAGAGGTGAGGAATGATTTCTTCCCTCCAAAACAACCCTCCATCACTCCTCGCTCCTATTCAGCATTTCTCCAAGCCCAAAGCAAAAAAAAACAAAAAAAAACAGGCAGTGTAGAGTGAAAACCAGGGGGAATAACACTGTAATAACAGACAATTGCATTTGTTCAAGCAAGTATTGTATCATTTGAAGGTGTTCGGCTTTGTTTGAATGTAAATTTAGAAGTAGCAATTAAGTCTCTCTCCTCTTATTTCATTGCTGTCTCTGCCAGCCCGTTAGCTGCGGCGCTGTGCGTACATGTGTGCAGTGACAGAATAAACTTGTGTATGTGTGTGCTTTTTAATGACGGCAAAAAGATTCCCACTGTGAGAATGTGAGAAAGACTCTTGAGTGCACGCTCTGACTGAGGTGCGATTCCAGTTTTAGGTCATTTTAATTTAAAATGTAGAGGGATGTGCGACTCTTGCATTCTACAAAGGTGTGACTGTGGATTCTCTGACATTAGAAAGGGTGCAAATCCCAGTGGCGGTATACTTTTCTTTTTTCTTTTTAAACAATGCAGTTTCTATATCGAGAGTGTGAATTGTTGTAAAAGGGGACTAAAGAATACATTTGGATTACTTCAACACCTTCACTTCAGCGGTTTGGGAAACAGCAACTCGTGTCTCATCAGCAACAAGAAAATTAAACCACCGACTCCGAGCATATTGTTATAATCCACTCTTCTCCTGGGAAACCTTGAGTCCTGTCGTCCATGTGGATGCCACTTTAGCACACAACACAAAAGCCACGTAAATATTGTTACATGCAAAGTAAGGCACTCCCATGCAAGACCCGTTTATTCCTTCAGTAAAAATGAAATCCTACTTTTGTTCTTTATGGAGACTATTTACTTGCATGCAAAGCTTGCACAAACATGACTCTTCAATACAACTCAGACATCACAGGGATTTTGGGTGCATTTCAGGTACCAAAAAGCTTGTCCCTGCCTACAGATTATATTTGTTTTGCAGATATTTGGTTATGAAGCTCATATCGCTTTGAACCACACCAAGCTTCTAATGCATGTTCTAGCTTTCGGAGTAAACATGATTTTTCAATGAGTCGTTTCATTTGGTTCTCTCCGAGTCTCAGCAAAAGTCAACACAGAAAGGCTTCCTCCATTTACTCTTGCAGGACAAATAAATCAGACCATCTCAATGAGTTTTTCCCATCTATAATGCAAGAGTGCAGCGCTTGGTAAACCATTTGTGTCTGTATAAAGTAAATACACATGGACCTTCTTGTAAGTGCGTATTTGTGCACGTCTTACCAGGCTTCCGGCAGCAAGGTGGTGTACTCGTGTGGAGAGGTGGTTTCCGGAAAGTTGTCAAGGATAGCTAGTCGATGTTGGAGGAGTTCTGCTCCGTGATATGTGAAAAGAATGTCAAGAGCCTGCACGTTGCTCTCCTGTGGCCAAAAAAATGTATGTTAGAAAATGCTTAATGTCAATTGGTGCCTCGATTTTACCCTCGTGTGTGTCTAAACGAGCTAACCAATGGTCAATGGTCAATGGTAACTTTATTGTCCCTGATGGGAAATTGATTCGCAGTATGTCAAAACAAACAACAAACATACAACCAACACATCACGTACACTCATTAAAAAAATACTATAATATAATATAAGCCTGATAAAACAACCTAGATATTCCATCGAAAAATCGCAGGCTTGATCTAAAGTAGAGAATCAGTCACATCCCTAGCTCCAAACAAAGACGCATACAGTTAAAATGAAAAGATGCAAAGAGATAATTAGTGAGACATTCAGTAGGAGTGTGAGGCCAAGGTTACCCTGGCATAGTTTCTTGCTGACAAAACAATGTTTTGACTTCGGAACTTCTTGAAGAAGTCTGCATCGTATTTGTCCTCCGCTGCATGAGGCCCGCCAAGTATTTCCTGGAAAGTATAAAGCAAGAGAGAAAGAAAGAGAAAATACTCAGAGAGATACACACACACACACACACACACTTACAGTTCATGAAAAGAAATTTGTGAGTCAGAGGGTTATCTTTCCAGAATAAATGTTATGAATGGAAAGGAATTCAGAGTAAAGATGCGAGGGAAAGTGCAAGTAGAAGATGTGACTGCCAATGAAGGCACTAAAGCAAAGCCAACAGAGATGCTATTTAATTTTTGTGGCTTACAGCTGTCTTGTCCTTTTAGTTGGAGTCATCTAAGTGCGTGTGTGTGTATGTGTGTGTGTGAGCATATGTCAGGATGGACCATTTGTTGTCCTGGAAAGAGGGATTTATGTGTATTTGTGGTTATAAAATCTCTGTAGTATCCATTATGCCAGAGCATGTGTGTGTGTCTGTCTTTGTGCAGAAGAGTGTGTGAGGCGTGTGTGTGTCTGATGGATAGCTTTTGAATGGGGTCCTATGCAGACAGAGCCAGCCCAAGTCTGGATGATAAAAACGCTAATATCATATTCATAGACAGCCAGAGAAAATGCATCGGGGCAAAAGGAATCTGACGAGTACTGCAGTTACCATGACAATGTCCGAATGAAGAGAGAAACATCATTCTGTCTGAGTCGAATATCTAGCAGGATAAAATCTCATCTCTCCTGTATGGGAGCGAGTAGGGTCCTGTTCATCCCTGATAAGGGTCTGCATGTTAACATTACTCACTGTGAATCTGAAATCCACAGTTTTCAGTAGTTGCAAGTGTCTGCTTTAAGCACGTATCTATCCATCTATGTAGCGCTGAAGCAGTGATATTGGATTCCTATTAGTAGTGAAGTTAAAATAATACTTCTCAGTGTCAGTGCTAGCTTTTTACCAGATCATGTATAAATTCTTCACATACTTAAAATGTCTTTCATGGACATAATTTCAATTTAAAAAAATGGAGGTTAAGTATAAATATTCATAGATGGCAGATGAGAAAAGCCTATTAGCGTTGAACAGACTGCTCATTTAAGTTGAACGCATTAGTTTGCCAGTAGGAAAACAACTATGAAATAAAGACTACAATGAAAACAAAGTTTTTTCTTCATTAATATTAGATTCATTAAATAAACTCTACTTTAATACAAATGTAATAATAATTAATGGTTCCTCAAATGCAATCTCTTTCCTCTGAAGTCTCTCCTGAGTTTAGTTATCAAAACCCGTTAATTCACTGCTCGCAGTAGTTTTAAATATGATGAAAAAAAAAAAACAGACTTTTTTCAATTAATGTTTTTTTGCATCACATTTAAATATTCTAGGAAGATGATATCGCGTTGTTGATCCGCAGAGCCTCAATTTACTTAATTTCTTCATTACATGTAAATAAAATTAAAAGTGTTGGGGCTGAATATTGGAAATTCAATTAATGAGTTTCTTGTTCGGGAGAATATTATGCCCCAGCCAAACAACAGAATATTAAGCAACAGTTGAATAAGTTCACTGGGTCCAGCTCTCCCAAAGTGAATATTTACTGAGATTCTCTTTAGTCTTCAAACATGCATCAAGTTAATTACTCGACAGGCTGAAAAAGTAAACAGCAAAAGATTTGATAAGGATAACTGTGGTTAGTTGCAATCCCAATGAAATCCATTTACATGGGGAAAATGTGGAGAGTTCATTAAGTCAAAGGGCTGATTGCTGTTACCTCGTACGTGGCGAGCCGGTCCAGGTAGGAGAGAAGCTTCAGTCTGCTCCGACACAGTTCCTTCTGCTCCAGAGTCAGCCTAAGCATGCAATCATATTTAAACACGCAAATCAGCACCATACCAGCACAAACAATTTAACACAATTGACATGAGACCTCCAACACAATGACTTTGACTACAGAAATTAACTGCAATCAAATCAAACGCCAAGCTCAGTCTGTCATCTGCACTAACTCACACCCTAGCTTTAAATTAACTGTAAATTGACCTTACACAGTAAGCCCACGGGGACCTATATAATAAGGCTGGGGACTGGTGACTACAATACCATACCATGCCCTCTAAACCTAATCATTTTCCAACAGCAACAAATCAACTCCTTATGACCACAAGAGCCACTCATTCAGGTGTTATGTATAGGATGCAAGCCGTCAATGAGGTGAGCGATTGCCCAGTGAGAACCAAATCCATTTTCAATGTCATTTAATCACAACCATAAATAAAGAGGATGGCCACAAACACCAAAGCACTGTGCTATATAGGCTCTACCTAAAACTCAATCACTCAAGGTACAACCAAAAGAAAGAGAGTGCAAGGCTGAAAAAGGCTAGGAGTGGTCAGGTGCACCCCCTCGGTTCACACATAAGGTAAAATAAAAAAATTTTTAACCACATGCTCACACACCCTCCAAGTTCAATTCACAAAGAAACAATCCAACCAGGTGAAGCAGGGTGCAACCCCTCTTATAAACTTGACCTGGATCAACTGCGATGTGACCACAGGGGAGTTGACCTCTCCACTGCTGTCTTAATCCCAAATCCCTCATTACAGAGTGTGCTATCGGGTCTTATCGGGGTCCTCTACACAGACTAACAGAGATTAACACTGGCTCAACACACACTCTGGCACATCAAAGAGCACCGGCTTAGTGCTAGTACTAGTGGTAATTACTGCCGTGCTTCGTTTCTTCAGAGCAACGTAAGAAAAGTGGAGATGGAGGAAGGAGAGTGGTGGCAAGCGAGGGAAGGAGGAGAGATGAGATGTTAGAAAGCAATTTTAGCCATCTACTCTCCTGAGGTTTTGAATGATGGCTTAATGATAAGTTCCAAGAAAGGCTCTGAAATCTAAAAGGAGGTGACAGGATATCTCTGTAACTTCATTTGGTTGAGAGGAGTTCTGACTAAGCTCTTCTATTACTCTGACATAGTTTATTAAATGACATGCAATAATACAGAATGTGTCAAAATGTACTGTTAGCCATGCTATAAGTGATATAGTATGTTCTAAAGATATTACTGACCCTGTGGGCATCTTTGTTTTCTTTATTGAGCAGGTAGATATTATTTAAAGTAAAATGTCTCGGTAGCTACTTGATATCTTTTGGATCTCTTATCGTTTAACCTTTTCTATATACACAACATATATGCAACACTACTGAGACACTGGCACTCCAACAGGTGCTCATCTTTGAATAGTATTTAACCAATGTTATGCCAAAAATAAAAAAAACATGTCAAAGGATTAGACATCCACAGCCCATAAACCGTAAGGGAACTATCATGAAAACATTCGTAACAACAAATCTAATGAAACACTTAAATCACCTTCACCCAGATGAATACGCCCAGTTTGAAGATGTTAATAAAAGGAAAATTGGCTAAAGCTAATGTTATCCAAAGCTCAGAGCCAGCCACAAGACAGCAGCCTGAATTGAGCCTCTGTGAACAGTAAAAAAGACTGAAGCAATTACAAGAGCAATTATGGCGACAAATCAAAAAGAGAAATTGGTCAATGCCCTGCTGCTGACATTGAACCTTTTCTAGAATGTTTAGAATGTTTGGTGACATCCTAAATTTGCTGGAAAATGATGCAAGTATTTGTTTTTTCTTATACAAATCTGTTGCACCTGCTTTTGTTTGGTGAGGTAAAGTATATCAGGTAAAGCTGGATATGAGGAGCAGAACACTTTCTTTTCAGAGTTGTTTAAGAGATAGAAGACCATCCAAGTTACTGCAGTTTGGGGGGCATTGTAAAAAGATTATTTTATTTCATTATGAAAATACGATTTTTAAAAAATGATCAAATGCTGAAAAGTGATTAACTGGAAATGGAAGTAATATAAAATGAATATCAATCACCCTCGGTCTGGAGCTCCATGCAAGACCAAGATGATGAGAAAGGTGGCGGATCAACCCAAAACTATACTGGTGGAGTTTGTTAATGACCTGAAGGCAGCCGGGACCACAGTCCAATGTACTGAAATACTGCAGCACCCACAAGGTCCCCCTGGCTCTTCTTAAGTTCGCCAGTGAACATCTAAATGATTCAGAGAAGGCTTGGGAGAAGGTGCTGTGGTCAGATGGAATAAGGAATAAGCTCCACCCACCATGTTTGGAGGATGAGAAATGATGAGTGAGACCCAAAGAACACGGCCACAGTCAAGCACGGAGTAGGAAACATGCTGCACATGCATGTATAGAAATAACTCCATAGTGCTGGTAGCAGCTTTAAGAAGCTGTAAGCATGCCGATGTCAGTACTGTAAAACGGTATCTATACAGACTTTATGTATATATCTTTTAATAAAATGTATAATTTTATAAATAATAATATTAATAATAACAATAATAAATACAGAATATAATTTCCAGTTTAAGACTGGTCATTGATAAAAAAAAAAAATAAATTTAAGCAACACCATTGTGCTAGAGCAGTATTGCAGAAACAGCCACCAATATGGCTTAGACATGGCTGAATGTTTGATTCAGGTCGACATCTCTTGCTTTTAAATTGCTAATCTTACAGCTGAATTCCACTGAGATACAGCATAAACAGTGTGTGCTGTAATACACTGTTATACATACAAATGGACCCACCTGGCTATACACTAAAAAGGCAGCACAGTGCACAAGTCTTTATAAAGGTTTTTATGTGTTTTTAACAGATTGCCCTTATAATAAATAGCTCTTAAATAAAAAATAATAATAACTGCGGTAAACTAAGGTAAAGAGACTAACTGCTTCAAGATCTATGTGCACACATATATTTAATACATCTAGATGCTACAATAAAAGCATAAACAGCCTTCCACACAGACACAAGCACAGTCCAAAGCTGGAACAAATGAGAAAATTAGACTTCTGACTGAGGTCTGACTCTGACCTGATAAGAACATAAACACCTTGCAGCAGACAATACTCTCTTCACACAATTTCCTCCCCCCTCTCTCTCTCTCACACACACACACACACACACACACACCTGCAGTATTGCCTATCTTGTTGTATGAGTAAAGTGTGAGTAGCCGTTATAATGGCCCTTGGCAGACACTACGTTTCAGGATAACTGAATGCATTTTGGCAAATGCAACACACTGCCAACAAGAGACAGCTGATAATAACAAAAGGGGCTGGAGAAATATATCAATATCCATCGTTTCATTTGGTTTTTAGAAAAAAACAAAAAAACAAAACTGTGAGTACTGAGAGAGAAACAAATTACAAAATTGAGAGCTTCACTTTCACACTCAGTTTTCTCTTCACCACAACAGAGCAGTACAAAATCTGCATCACTGTCGATGGCACACCAATCCATCATTCAATTTCCCCTCTCCACTCTTCTCTTTATGAACAAAGCCCCAAGACTCCTCCACTTGAGACAGCAAGACGCAACGCAAAGTGAGCCAAGAACCATGGTGCCCTATTTGGAGGTGCTAATTCTATTCCAGCCACTGTATACTCAGTCCAATGGCTTATTAATCCCAGAGAACCACATTGTCTTTAAAAGCGCAAACACGAACCTGACACCACCTGACACGCCCATGTCTTGGATACTGCAAAATATAAAAAGGTCCATAAAAGTTATGTACAGAGGTAGTGCCAAAGGGAAGCCCTGGTGGATTTCAACATCCACTGGTAACAAGTTGTATTTATTTTCACTCCAAATCCACAAACCAAATGTAGATTTGTTGGGCAAAGCCCACATACACTTGTATATGCAGTTGCAAGACAAAGTGCTGCTCCAGTTTTTCATGACTATGATGAAATTGTTTTTGTCCACATTGTCAAGTGACGATAAGCCAAGAAGATCCTTGAGATGTTTTTTGTTTCTTTTCCAGATGTTCCTGACCCCCAAGAGTTTAGAAACTAATGTTATACAGGACAGCAAAGGGCAGTTGAGAGCGTTTGAGTCTGATTATTGAAAAAGTCATTCCTGAATAAGAATTCTACATAGTCATCAATAACATTGACAAAGAAAAGTCATTTTTTCCTCTTTAAAAGTGATGACATTTTAATTTATTGTATTGACGCAAGGCAGAAAAAATCTTTGTTGATTATGTCTTTCAAGC